TTAAGTAACTGCTTCCCTCATAAATCTCTTTTATACATATACACAGATACATGAATGTCTCGGTGCGGTTAAATTTATTTCATTTTGATATGCCTCCTTAGTTTGAATTCGCATATATGTGATCATTTATTTGTGCATGGAGGCACCTAGCTTGGAAATGCATACAAATCTTATGATCTATTACATGTATATAGCTACCGGAAGCTCGCTATGCAGCTGCTGCTGTGCCTCTCGGGATTACGCTGAAGTTTCTACTGATTGGAGTGGGCCTACTGGAGGTGAGCTGCGACTATAATGTCACATTGGCCCACACTTTCGAACCCTATTTTGTTGGTTGATCTGAGATTTCAGCTATTGGATATTAATGATATTTCAATCACTTCCGTCGATGTAGAATATTAGGTTGTTGGCTGGTCGTGCGTCTGAATGGTTAAATATAGTGAGTGAAAATCATCAGCATAGTTCCGAGTCTCTCCGATACCTAGCTTGTGATGATGTTTTATCTAAAAAAAATTACAGGATAAAGCCACTGTCGAAACCATCACACGGAACAATGACAGGAGTGAGATACTTAAAGGACCCTTCATTTATGGCCTGGTCATAACAATCTGTACTGTGGTGTGTTGATAATCTCGGATCCAGTTATATAGTCGGTGTACATATAAACGCTGGTATACACGTGTACCTCGGTTATCTTGGATCCTTTATGATGACTGTGATTTTTAAGGAAGTGAAGCCTGATTATGATTGTGAACGACTTGTACATCTAACGAGTGCCATGTCTACTGCATGTCATCAAACTTCTACCATTACGTTGCATCTTGTCTGTGTTCCTAATTTTCAAAGCATACAATATGTTTTTCGTTCTTTTTTTCTAAACGCTTGCTCTGCTATCATACAACTCAATGCTCAATCGCGTTTGAATTCGCAATGCTACTGGAAGTATGATCTGAGAGGTGCCACCACAATCATAATCCTATGCTTTGGTGATGGTTTTGCGGATATATTCGGCGGTGTGGAGATGCATTTGTGAAAATGTCGGGGAGAGTAGTCATTTTAGCATATGATTCCGTGTCCTTGTATCCAATATCTCGTTTGCCATTCATTGGTGGAATTCCGCTGTATTAAAACTGTAATTATTGTCCCGCTTGATGATACAAAAATACCCTTTTTTTGTGACAGAACAACGGACATTCAGATCGGTGCCCGATATCATTTTCGGCCATACGTTGAAACTCGATACATCATCCCCATGTTGTAGTTAGATTATGTATTTTACACATGCCCACTGCTGCACACGTAATTTGAGTCCGCCTGGAGTGTTAGTATTTGTTGTAGCATGTACGAAGCCTATCTTGAGTAGGTACCCCGGTGTGTTTCGACTCAGGCAGCGAGTAGAGTTTGACGTTCTGGAATGACCTGCATGCCTGTTTTGGTTCCTGTACAATAGTTATAAGCGGTATATTTGTGTACTTTACGGGTAGCTAAACTTCAACAATCATAACAGAAACGATGGGGAAATGCCACTACCATGGAATGGGCGCAAAACTTGTGTGGGCTTGGCGGCCTTCATAACTTGCAGCATGATTGGCTGTATACTCTATACGAACCACTTTCAGAACCTTGGTTGGGTACCGCCTCGTTCTGGCTATTGGCCACGTCTTCTCATCCAGATCATAGGTATGACGTCCGGATCGCAATTCAGTTTCGTGCACTTCCACAGCCGTCGACATCAGAATTATTCGAAACTGTCCTGAACTATCTCTGTTCAACCACAGTCCATCTGCATAACAAAAATCGCATGAGGCTTTGCTTCAATGTCATAAATTTGACAAATATCCACCCCAGGAGTTTACTCGTTCAACATATGCGACTATCGCCGCACTAATCGAAATTGTATTTGGACTGTATCTTCCGGCACAGTCGCAGCATTTGTGAAAAGTGTCGATGCAACTGATCTGGATAACTTAACCGTGCCAATTGCGAGTATCATATCTGCAACACTCCTGGATACCGTCCAGAACAGAGGTCTTTCCCAATGATGTATCGCCTTCTAAAAAAAGAGGTGGCAGATATATAATTCTCCCTGCGAGTGCGGCCATGAGCACCCGTAATCTTCCAAGCGATGCGCCGATGCAGTTGTATGTGAACTGCCGAGGACCAATATGAGTTGATTCGTTCAACTAATAAATATCGTTCCATTGTAAGCAATACCTCCATAAACATGCCCACGGTGCCCATCAGGTAGTCCAAAGAAAATACAAATCATTATACTAAAATACATACTTCCGTTTTTATTTCGTAATAACGTCGTCCAAATAAGTGCACTACTTCATTTTAAGCAATAACATAAGTGCTATTTACTGCTATTTAGCTTGATGTAGTGACTTCGACTACATTATTTGAGACCGGCGTAGTGTTTAGAATCTCTCCTATTTTCTTCCTGTTGTGCATAACGTTAGGTGATTGACTCGGCAGATGAGTTGGAGTTACCATCTGTGATTGTGGTCTCATTTTGGCTTGCCTCTGTCTTTCCGGTCTTGGAGCGACTCCGTGATGGCTGCCTGGCATATTTTGTAGAGACGTAGCTCCGCCAACACTCAAGGGTCTGTATTGCAGATTACCGCCACCGTTGCGACCCACAGGACTATTACTTGGCTGACTTCCTTGTCTAATTTGCACACCCACATTTACGTTTTGATTTCCTGACCTGCTCTGCACACCATTCTGACTTCCAGGTCTATTCTGCAAACCCATATCCACCCCTAGAGATCCTGCCCTTCGTACACCCATAGCCCCACTCTGACTACCGGGTCTATTCCGCAAGCCCGTTCGTCCGTGTTGGCTCGCAGGTCTATTCTGCAGACCTCTTTCGCTACCAGCTCTACTCTTCAGCGAATTCACGTCCCCTTGTTGATGGTGTTGTTGAATATGACGATTTTTCTGCTCGGCTTGTTGACGAGCGTTAACACTCTGTAAATGTCTAGTGATAATTTCGTTGATAATCTTGCTCATAATCTCCAACGAATCAGGATCCAGGCGTGCAAGATGCTTATTTGTATACTGCAAGCTACTTTCGTGAACAAGCATCTCTGTAAGTTTGAAGGACATCAGATCTATATACAAGCTCATTTTTTCACTTGGAGACAGGCTCGGCCGAGGGTCGCTTTTGCGGTCGTAGACTTGGGCAGCCATGGCGGTCCACTTAGTGACCCGCTTATTAAAGCTAACTTTGAGCGAAGTGGGCGACCTCGTCGAGCTCGTATTATTAGTGCTCGCATCCGAACCTTTCTTCAAACAAGACAATATATTACCGCCTTGATCCCGTCTTGAACGCGTATGCCCTAATAAAGGACTCGCGGGCGATATTTTGATATCCAACTTCAATTTATGTGATGAACTAGGCAGACTAGCCATTGATAATGGCCTCACTTTAGTATCTGCCCCAAGAGGACTACTGAACGACGCTCCTCGAGCACCTCTCCCATTCGGAAGTGTTAGAGATCCTGCAGAAGAGCCAGTGTACAAACTCCCTCCGCGTCGAGGATCAATATGAGACAACGGACGACCACCCGCGGTCTTACCAAACGGTGACTGTAAACAGCCTACACTTCTCGATGCGACTCCAACGCTGTCGTGCTCACCTCGCCCGAAACTCGATCCAAGAGCCGAATCTGAGTTTATTTCGGAACTCTCTGATCCAATGTTATTGGTCGTGGAGTCGCTGAAGCTTGATACACTTTCAATTTCCATGCCTGAAACAGACGATGCATCATCCTTGCGTGGTTTTGGCTTCATTCGAAACGATCTGATGCTTCCCAAACTTGGGGTCGCAATAGATCGTGGCTCTTTCTTGCTGCCATCACTGTAAGCGTCAGGATCTTCAGATGTAACAGATTTATCGCCTCCGGTAAGAACCTTGCGGAACAACCCATTCACCTTCGAGAACTTCATTTTTTTTGTGTCGAGATGCTTCACTTCAAAGAACTTCAAAGTAGTGTGGATGTCGTATCCTGTTACGCTACAAGAGAACTAAAACTAACCCCGTAAAAAAGCCCTGACGGTGTGGTGTTTAGTGTATATAGAACCTAAGAGTATATAGAACCTAAGAGTATATGCAATTACTACTATGTGGCTATTCAGATATTATAATTCCAACTTGTGCACAAATCTCACCTAGGATTCACAGTATATATATATATACATTTATACATTGTACAAATGCTAAGCCACGACACAGTTGACAGTTCCACACAATCCGAAGACTCAAGAAGGCACGTTCCTATGTTCTATAATTTCAATAAATCCTATGAAATTTGTTTTCTTGATACATTGCCTTAAAAACGATATACTCAAGTTACTCTATGTAAAAACGAAAGTGTTTATAGAACTCCAATAATATTTGTTTATATCATTTGTTTACTCTTCGAGCTCAAAAATAAAATCAAACATATTGTGCGACCCATCAGACCCAGTGACCCAGGTCTAAAACTCTATTTTTAAAATTAATAGTGACCGTTTTTAATGAAAATGAACATTCTTGAGGTACAACATGGATACTCCAACGAAGGACATTTTCGAGAAAAAAATTGTGTATTTATTGGATTTTAGTGTGGAATATATGTAGAGCAAATTTGTTTCTAAAAAGCCCAAAGTGCACCTAAAGTCCGAAATCTCAGAGGTGGGCAACAAAGTAGTTCATCCGAACCGCCTTTAGTGGTAATTGGTAAATGCTTGTTGTTCTTTTTCAAAAACGCAAATAAAAACAAAGTATTGTAAATATATAAAAATCCCATCTAGACTTTTTATTTTTCAAAAATATACTCATATATTTAAATATTTTAAACCAAAACTATTTGTTCAACAAAAATAAAATGTAAATACTGTAATATTAGATCGACTCAAAACACAAAGTAACGGTGAACTTAGACATATTTCCTCGATTGTTGAATAAAAGTCTACCTTAGCAGAATGAACTTCTTGAATGAAATAAATCACGTACTTATGCTATCTCCGAAGGATTTCCTTGAGAATCCGGCCGCCAATCAAATCGTGTATCTTCTCAATTTCGAGCCTTATGGCTTCCATAGCTTTAGCTGGCGACACCCCCGCAACCGACTGGTGATGTTCAAAACATTCATCCTATCCACGGCTACATATGGGCTGAACATTATTGCCTGGGCTCCGCGTATATGGAAGGATGCGTTGGACATCCTATTCGAGCGCTTTAACGCAGCACTCATCCAAGCAGCAGCCATCATCACGGGCACTAAACACCCTCGGCTTCCCAAACATCAAACAAACTTACTTCACTTTTGCGGCCTGCTCCCCGCGCGACCATTCGCGGACTACCTCGGAGGTTGTCTGGGAATACAACTCGAATCAATGGCAAGCACAAATACACTTACCCCTCTGACGCAACCCGCCTGGGCCCACGATAAACCATCACTGCGCTTCCCGTACAGTATCTATGCTCACCTGAAAACTGTACACAAAACCACGGGCGGGCGTACACCCGACCATGTAGCCCTCCGCTAACGCTGTGACGAAGTCAGGAAGAACTCAACAAAACGTTCGTCCAACAAGAAGATCGCGGCAATGGCCCGACGCCAATACTACTACCAACAGGTTATGGGTAAGCCGCCAACATCAAACCGAGACACAGCCAGACACGACAGCTTCAATCGCTGCTTCGAGTCTACACCAATCCGGATCTGTGCTATGATTGTAACGGATACGTACATGTTCACATTGCTCGACTACCGCACCGACGGCTGTCGCTGCCCTGTCTGCCTCGATAGCCACAAGTTCACTACCAGCCACTTTACCTGCATCCAACAACTGATTCGACGCATCCTGGTAGGCCCGAAACTGCCGCTCATTGGCCCTGACCTCCTTCGGCAATTACAGGAGTGCCACGACTTCAACAGTATCTGGACCCTCCACGAACACCTTGGATCTTTTCTCCAGCATGTTGAAGAACCACTGTACCCTCACCCATCCCACACATCAACAGATGTTCGCAGACCCGATCCGTACCACAGAGGTGGCTACTCTACTTAGTAGGTCAGCAAGCAAATATATGGAACATTCGATAGTAACAGTGTTTTGTCAACACCGGCCCGAATTGACTCAGCACATATCTTCCATTGTCGACTCACTTGGCCTAAGCTTCAAACGGGAATTTACTGACCACTTCTTCCCATCAATCTTTCCTGAACCACTACAGCGACTATGAGAGCCATACCATATGTTCATACATTGTATCATACATACTTGCCATTTTTGAAATAAA